TTCATTTATATCTGTCATCTCTATTCCTTCATTTATATCTGAAATCTGGATGGATTTCCTCAGAGGGTGGAAGGTCAGGATCTGTCTTTTTTAAGTGGTTTACCCGATGTCCATTGACGATTGAGGCGGTAATATATCTCTACTGGTTGAAAATGCCAATCATCTATCAAGTTAGTGTTTCTACAAGAATTTCCCTAATACATTTTGTTGTTTTGGTCTAGAAAATGTCATGCCTCTTGAGTATTACCTGACTCATAAAAGCTGCTCTGTTACTGTCGGTGGATTTGAAAGGTGGAAAATATACACTGAGTGGTCAGATTACTATGATGTCTAAATGCATAATAATCTGGCCACTCAGTGTATATCCTATAATATATATATATATATATATATATATATATATATATATATATATATACACACACACTGAGTGGCCAGATTACTACACATTCAGAGATCATAATAATCTGGCTGCTCAGTGTATATTACATGCTGCTAAGTGCAAACCATCGGCATTAGACGCAGCTCATTCTGGCAGGAGTCAGGCTGTGAGAGACTGGCTGCTGTAATACTTTTACAGATTTTGATTATTTTATTTTAAAAATGTCCCATCAATCTAACCCTGTCTCTCTGAACTGGAATACTCTACCTCCTCTACATGCAATCGAACAGTATTTGTCATTTTGTGGTTGGCTTCTCTCACTTCCCATAATGTCCTCCGAGTTCATCCATGCTGTAGCCCCTCCAGCATTGCCTTCCTTGTTAAGGCTGAACCATATCCTGCTCAGGCACAGATGTTTTGGGTATCCACTCATCTGTCAGAGGACACGGGGGTTGCTACCACTTCTCAGCTAGTGTGAACTATGCTGCTATGAACAGGGGTGTACAGATATCTGTCTGAGTCTCTTCTTTTAATTCATTGGTTATACACATACTGAGAAGCAGAACTGGATTTCCATCCCACAGTCTGAGCACTGGAAGAGAGGCACATAGTGCCTCCTGGTAATGGGAGGAAGGCGGAGAGGGTGGGAGGGGGGGAGGGGGAAAGTGATTTGAGATGACACAATTGCCCCGGGTCCTTGAGGGTAGATTGGGCATGAGCAGTGAGGAGGAGGCAGGACCAGTCAAAAGGTCTGGGCCTAAAGGTGGGGGTTGATCATAGAGATCTGTATTCCTATAATTAATTTGTGTCCTGCCTTGTGGACCTACTTACAACCTCACCCAATGGTTGTTTAGGGGTGGGACCCACTTTGTACCTCACCCAATGGTTGTTGAGGGGCGGGTCCCCCTCCCAACCTTACCCAATGGTGGTTGAGGGGCATGACCCACTACCTACATCACCCAATCGCTGTTGAAGGGTAGGACTTACTTTGAACCTCACCCAATGGTTGTTGAGATGTGGGTCCCACTTCCAACATCAACCAATGGTTGTTGAGGGGCAGAACCCACTCCCAATCTCACCCAATGGTTGTTGAGGGGCAGGACCAACTTCCAACTTCGCCCAATGGTTGTGGAAAGGTGTGACCCATTTTGTGTGTGTGTGTGTGTTTTAAATAATTACAATTTATTTGTTTGTTTGTTTGTTTACTTATTTATTTTTATGTTGCTCATATGTAGATACAACACTGATTTATGTATCTGACTTTATTTGTTTATTTTGGTTTGTGTTTTTAAGTGGCAAATAGAAACAATGCGTGTGCTTTTCTTCAGCACGTTTTATTTTTAGGCAAAGCTGGAAAACGAAAGGCCGCGCGCGGAGCCACCTGACTCTCATTTGTGTTGATGGGAGAAAAGGCATCTTAATGGGGGAAAGCACCCCATCCCCCCCCTCTCCCCCCCTATAAACAACCGCAGGGCCGCCTCAGGAGGCCTGGCCGCCCACCGCACACACATGTCATCGCTGTGTCCCCCCGGGGTGGGAGGGCTCACCCCGAAGCCCTCCTGATCTGGGCAGGGTGGGCTCTGCCGGCCCCTGGGGAAACGCCCTCCCCACCCCGGCTTGCTGATTCCCGCTGCGTTCCCCTCGCCGTGCCCCAGAGCTGGACCCGCTTTTCTGAAGGTTCTGAGAGTGGGTGCGCAGGTGCCCACCGTGGAGACCGTCCGGGCAGAGCAGAGCCTGGCAGGGATCCCGCGGACGCTCCCCGCCCGCCCGCGTGTGTGCGCCGTGTCTGGAGGATGCACGGACGCGGGATGGTGAGTCACACCCCTGCTCCTGGAGACGCCTTTGAGCTCCGTGGGAACCGAGCCCTCTGGCAGGTGCTCCGCCCGGCGCCCTGACCCCTTAACCCCTCAGGAGCCTGAGCGGGTCCAGACGCACAGAGACGCAGGCACAGTGCCCGGTGCCCGCCTCCCCGCTCCCGCAGGCTCCGGGCGATGTGAACAAGGGCCGTCCCACCAGCGCTGGCCTCACGTCCGCCGGCGCTCCGAGGCGGCCTGGCCGGAACCCTGCTTTCTGAAGGCCGAGTGCTTCCCTTTTGGCCCAACAGATCCCTTTGGAAGGGACCGGCGAGGAACAAGGGCGGAGGAACCGGACGGAACTGGACGGTGTGACACCTCCTGCCAGAAGCTTAGGGACGTGTCGGGCACTGGGGGCTGAAGGCAGGGCGGAAGCTACTGAAGGGCCCTTTCCCTGCCGCTGTGGAATCCTGCCTCCGAGGGATAGTCTGTCCCCGAGGGGAAGAGCAGTGCCTGCCCCCATCCTCTGTGCGGTCCGCTGCCCGTGGCCGTGGGTGTCAGACGGATGAACGGACCGGTTCAATGCCGGGAGGAAGGCGCTCCTCCGAGGCTCGCGAGAGGGAAAGTGCCAGCCTCTCGGGCCGGCGGGTGGAGGGGGACACGGTGCCTTCAGAACAGCCGTCATCTTCAGTGACCTTTGCCCTCTTCCCATGGCTCGAAAAGTGATGATTTTCTTGTTTGTTTTAAGTATCTTTTTATTGATTTCAGAGAGGGGCGGAGGAGAGAGAGAAAGAGAGAGAGAGAGAGAGAGAGAGAGGGAGAAACATGGATTGGCTGCCTCCTGCACCCACACTGGGGATGGAGCCTGAAACCCGGGCCCGTGCCCTTAGCTGGGGACGGAGCGGTGACCTCCCAGCTCCTAGGCCGGCGCTCAGGGGGCTTTTCAGTGAGACGGTGAGAGCGCATCGCCGCGGAGACCCCCCTCCCGGGCGGGCGGGGAGCGCGCTCTGGCCACAGACGCCGCCTGCGCCTGTGAGCGGCAGTTAAACACTTTTCCGTCCTCCTGGAGCCGAGGCGCCCTGGGGGCGGCCCGTGAACCAGCGTGTTTGATTCCTGTGAGTGACTCCGCAGACCGGAGAGGTAACTCAGGAAGCCCACGCGGACGGGGCCGGCGGAGGGAGCGTCTGTCTGGGCAGCTGTTTATGTCATCGGACGGGATGGTCACCTGGGGAGGGGGGACGGGGCGGACGTGAGCGGTGGGAGCCTCCAGGCCCCGGGCGAGGACGGCAGAGACCAGCCAGCGCTCACCCTGCGGTCGCTGGTCTGGCCAGCAGGCGGGGAGGCGGGCGCGCTGGGCCCCGCGATTTCTCCTCCGTTGCTGTTTCCACGCACCGCGTGCTTCTCCTCAGAGGCCGGTGTGTGTGTGTGTGTGTGTGTGTCCGAGTCTGATGTTCAAACTCGATCCTCAAAGGGAGCGGCGTCCTTAGCAGAGGCTGCACACGGGTCCAGGGCCCAGCGGGGTAGGCTGACATGACTGGGGTTTGTAAGAAACGCGGGGAAAACCAGAGGAGGGGTGGCCGCCAGGCAGGCAGGCCTCCAGCGGCCCCACAGGGCCGAGGGGCAGAGCCGAGCCTTTCCCCCGGGATCCCACGGCTGGCAATCCACTTCCTTCTCTGACCTGGGCCCCTAGGAGGGACTTACGTCTCCCCAGAATGGGGTTTCCAGACCTTGCTCAGGAAATGAGGGTCTGCCTGGGGGTGGAGGGCGGACCAGGGCCAACCGGAGAGGCAGGAAGTGGAGGTGTCCTGGGTCAGGCCTGTCTGCTCCCCGCCCGGACCTCCCAGCCAGAGTCCTGAGGGCATATGGGGGCAGGGATTCTGGGATCAGAGCTCCCACATGTTTTAGCCCCCTAACTCTGCATCTCACGCGGAGGGCAGTCTGGATCGCATTTACTAAGCACTCCAGTGGGCTCTCTGATGCTGCCATTTCCTTCACACGAGCCGCGGGCACCCAGCCAGGGTCTGGCTGCAGGCCAGTGGCCTCTAGCGGAGGCCTTCCGGCGGCCGGTGCGGCTCCAGCTGCCCCGTCACCGCGGTCCCATTCAGCGAGTCCCCGCGGCTCCGGGACGAGCCCGAACCCAGCGCTGAGACGGGCCTCCCAGGCCCCTGCAGCCCGTGGTCGCCATGGCAATCAAGGCGGGATGAGTCATTAATGCCGGCCCGTCTTACAGCACGAACGTAGCAGCCATAAGATGAAGTCACAGCCAAAACCGGTGTGGCTCGGTGGATAGAGCGTCGGCCTGCCGACTGAAAGGTCCCAGGTTCGATCCCGGTCAAGGGCATGGACCTTGGTTGCGGGCACATCCCCAGTAGGGGGTGTGCAAGAGGCAGCTGGTCGATGTTTCTCTCTCATCGATGTTTCTAGCTATCCCTCTCTCTTCCTCTCTGTAAAAAATCAGTAAAATACATTTAAAAAAATAAAAAAGATGAAGTCACACTCTGTCCCCACACACCGCACGGTGATGGACGCACAGGAACCAGTGCACCTGAGCTCGGAGCAGGAAGGGGTCTCTCCGGCCGGGCAGGGCTGTTGGACCCTCGGCAGCCGAGGGCAGGTGTCCGCGGGCGGCATGGTTAGCGGGCCATGGGGGCTGGCCGTCCACGGGCATTCCCGTCTGGACCAGGGTGGCCTGGGTCCTGATGACCCCTGATGTCTGTGGCTCCTGACCCACTGGCCTTTCCCTTTCCAGGATGCTCTTCGCGGGCCCCGTGGCCAGGGGCCAGGAGAGAGCAGTGCGCCGCTCACTGGGCTCCTCTTCCCTCCAGGAGACTACACCTGCTGCGACCTGGTGGTGCAGATAAAGGAGTGCGAGACGCCGGAGGCCGCCGCTGCCATCCCGGGGCCCGCGCCCCCGCCGCCACCCCGGCCCGCGCCCTCCGAGGAGCCAGAGACACCCGGCCGGCGGGAGGGCTGCTCCGAGTGCCGGCCAGCACCGGCCAGCAACGCCTTGACCTTGCAGGTGAGGCCCTGGGCACGCCACGCCTGGCTCCCACCTCGGGGAGATTGCTCCTGGGGTCCCATGGCCTCCCTTCGGCCTCCGAGGCTGGAGACCTGTCTCGCCTTCCTGGAGGCTGTGTGCCTCTGGGCTGGGGCCCTGACCTCTCTGGGCCCCTGTGTCACAGTGTGAGTCACGGAGACCATGGCATCCGTCAGGCATGTCACTGCTTCTGTAAAAGGCCCGTGTGTGACACTGGTGGATGACCTGGGTCTGAGCTTCCTAAGGCTCCCAGTCCCCCCACCCCAACCCGGACCCCGACCCTGGAGCCAGGGGCTCAGGACACTCCACCCCTCCCGTCATGTCCCTGAAGCTGGGATTAGGGACCCGGTCTGGGCCTGTGGGCAGCGAACGAGTGGACAGGGTGGTGCTGGAAGGAAGGATAGAATGGCAGTCCCGCAGTTGGCAAAGCATTAGTCACCAGAGCTAAATAGCAACAGTACAACGATTGAGATTTCTGTGGAGAGCCAAACTTTTTAAACTTACACTATACAGGTAGGTACATTGTTATTAACTTCATTAGGGTCCTCCTAAGCTGGCCTTTGCTAAAACCTCTAGGGGCTAAAGAGCCACATGTGGCGGGAGAGCCGCAGTTTGCCGACCGCTGTGGTAGACCTTTGGTCTCACAACCGTGATGTTGGTTCTGGTCCACTGTGTGGGCCTCGGGGCCGAGAGGGCCGGTGCCCTCCGTGGGGCCGGGCCGCCTTCCCCTGAGCTGTGGGCGGCAGTGGGACCAGATCTCGCGCTGGCACTTTGGTCCCTGCATTGTTCTCTTGCTCCGGTCCTTGGCCAGTCAGATGGCTGTGTCCCCCCGAGTCCCTCCTCTTAAGGATAAATCCCTTTGCCCGGCGTGTCTCAGTGGTTGAGCGGTAACCTATGAACCAGGAGGTCAGGGCTTGATTCCTGGTTGTGGACCCCATCCCAAGTGGGAGGCATGCAAGAGGCAGCCGATCCATGATTCTCTCATCATTGATGTTCCTCCTTCCCTCCCTCTCCCCTCCTCTCTGAAGTCAGCAGAAACATATTTAAACATGAACTCTCCCCCGCAGGAGGCGCTGGAGGCCCGGCGGCCCCAGTTCATCTCGCGCTCGCAGGAGCGGCTGCGGAGGCTGGAGCTGATGGCGCAGCAGAGGCGGGCCCAGCGCCAGGAGAGCCCGGGGCCCAGGCCGGGCCCCCTGCCCGTCCGCACCAGCCGGAGGCAGTTCACCGTCCCCCACCCGCTTAGCGGTGAGTTCCGTGGTGGGGGCGGGGACCTGGGGGGTCCTCGGGCTCGGACCTGCACCCCAGGTGCTGATCCCATGCGGCCACCATGTCCACGGGACCGTGTTCTCGCCGAGGGCCCGAGCGTCACAGAGCCGGCCGGGAGCCGGCCTAGTTTGGAGATTCTATGTGGGCACTGAATTCGCAGCTTCCTTGGCTCACAGTTCCCATGGCGCCGGGAAGGAAGCACAGGGCCTGTGTGTTTGCGTGTGTGTGTCTGTGGTTGAGTGTGTGTGTGTGTGTGTGTGTGTGTGTGGTTGTGTATGAATTTCCTCTTCTAAGGACATGAGTCCTTGGCCCAGGGCCCACCCTGACCCCGAGTGACCTTGCCTGAGCCTGAGGGCAGCACAGGCTCTCCCTCAGACGAAGTCATGGAGTCTCGGCCACGCGCCCGGGGCTGGAACCACCGTTTGGAGGAGACAGTCCCGGCGCTGCGCCACTTCATTTTTCCTGAAACAGACCCAGGCTCACACTCCTTCCCAGGAGATCCTCCCAGGCTCACACTCCTTCCCGGGAGATCCTCCCAGACCCTCAGGCCGTGGTGAGGCCGGGGTCGCGCCTGTCACTAGTCTGAACTTCCTGCAGCGCCTTTTCGTTCCCCGAGTTCCGAGACCGTCCCAGCCACCGGCTCCCTCTCGGCCGGCTCGGGCGTGTCCGGCCCCTGCCTGTCCCCTCTGTCCGCGCTCTCCTGTCGGTTTGCTCGCCGGGAGCCAGACCCGTGCTGAGGCCGGAGCGGTGCGGGGCCGATTGCGCGGTGGCGCTTGGCCGGATAAACGGATCTGTAGCGCGTCTGCCTGCGGCGTCGGCGGGCGGGACGCTGAGGCAGAGGCAGACGTCCCCCGCAGGTGGGATTGGAATCCATCACACGCTCACGGGAGCGGCGGCTTCAGGGTCAGACGTGTTACAACGGGACTGCGTGGCTCTCGGTCAGCAGCCTTGACCCCGAACAGACGGGGGAGGCTCGGGCAGAGCTCTGGCAGCGGACAGGGCTGGGGGACAGCGGCACCGATGAGCAGGGTCAGAGGCGACGGGGCCCGGGACCGGTGCTGCCTCCTGTTGGCTGATGAATGTTGAGCGGTCTTTGAGGCTCACGGCAGTGACACGTGTGTGCCTGCACACGTGTGTGAGGGTAGATGGGTTCCCGTGCAGAGATGAGGGCGTGTACCCACGGTAGGCATCATAGAGAGACAGGGGGCGGCGTGACCAGGTCCTGCCTGCAGCCCATGTCCTTACTGATGTCCGAGCAGCCGTGACCGGACCCCCAAAACCAATGGGCGCGGAGGGCCCTTTCCGAGCTGGGAGCCCCGGCCACCTTGGCGTAGCCCTGCGGTGACGCCATGGTAAGTGCCTGTGGGCGTCACCGCACCCAGTCCCTCTGGGAAACCCTGCGGCACGCGGCGAAGCTGGCCCCGTTCACCGGAATGGCATTAGCCGCACGTCCCAGGTGAGCTGGTCAGGAGCCTTTCGCGCCACGGCCCAGTGGAAGGACGGAATTCTCCGGAAGGTGCTGCAAAGCCCTGCCCCCGCAGAGCCGCCCTCGGGGACACGATGGCTGCAGCGGGTTCCAGAACGGATCTGCGTTCCCGGAGCGTCTCGCTGGAGAAGCGACCCAGCAGGTCTGGGATGGCCAGCCCGGCGCCGCAGTAACAGCCAGGAGCTGCCCATTGCGCGCCGGGAGCACGGCCACCCCCTCACCCCCACCCCCCTGCCCGGTCTGAGCTCATGAATGCTTTTCCATAAAACATCTGAATAAATATTTGGGGCAGTGTTCCCAGTATTACTCACCAAGGAATTTTTTAATGTGCTTATCAGATAACAGCAAATTGTTACTTCATCAGCCCTCTGGCTAAACGAGGAAGCAGGAGCCTCATCCAGCGGGAGGCCGTTTCCCGGAGTCCAAGACGTTTGCACGCACAGCACGGCGCTGTTAGCGGCCTCCCGGCCCCGGGGGCGGCCTGTGCTGTGTGTTTTCAGGAACAAACACTCAAAACTGGGGGGACACAGACCGATTCCTGTCGTGGACTCACAGCAGACCTGCCGGACAGGTGTCTCTGAGGAAGGTCACACAGGAGCACAGAGGAGCAGAATGGGGGGAGGTGACTTCCTCAGGATTCCTCCTCCCCACGGCCTCGGTCTGATCCCAGGGGATCGCTCTCTGATGCGCGTCAGGAAACCCACCTGCAGCGAGAGCGAATGTGTAATCGGCCTCCACAAATCGCCACGTTCTGTGGCTCTTTCCAGAACACAGGGGCACCCCGGGGTTGGGGCAAAAAGCCTCCTCCCCCGCGGGGTTGTTCAGACGCGGGTGAGACGTGGCTGCTCCGTGGTGGTGGGAGCCACTGTTAGCGTTAACGTCCCTTTAAGTGGGACAGACATACAAATTTTTTAGAAAATGTGGACAAAGCACACAGGATTTTCTCCCGGCACAGAGAGACTAAGCCCTATTTTACAGTCACACGTGACTTTGAGAACTCATCGGCGCTATTATTCTGCAGTTGTCCCTTTCCTCCTCAGTGTCCTCAAGCCTGGAACAACCAAAATGCACTTCAGAGGAGGAGCATCTCCTTGGATTCTCAGAGCCGTATTCTCCCGGAGGTTTATAATGCCCCGTGCCGTGGTCGGCAAACTGCGGCTCGGGGGCCACAGGCGGCTCTTTGGCCCCTTGAGTGTGGCTCTTCCACAAAATGCCACGGCCTGGGAGAGTCTATTTTGAAGAAGTGGCATTAGAAGAAGTTTAAGTTTAAAACAATGTGGCGCTCAGAAGAAATTTCAGTCATTGTCCTGTTGATATTTGGCTCTGTGGACGAATGAGTTTGCCGACCTCTGGGCCCTAGTGCATGTTAAAGGCACTGGCAAGTCCTGCAACAGTGAGGCCTGCTTACGTCTGTCTAATTATGTTACCCTGGGAACGTTTTTAATCTCATTGTTAAGAGCTCGCTTGGGAGACTTGCTCTGGGAATGTGCTTGTAGGTGATTTCCCTCAGCCTCCGCCCTTCGCTAGAGAAGCCGGTGTTCTCTCTGCCGATGGCTCTCATCAGCCCGTTCCTCCATCCGTGCCAGGCAGTGGTGCCGGAGAGCCTGGGGACCTCTGGGCAGGGTGATGGTGTTGGTTTCACTGTGTAAACCAAGTCTGGAATGACCAGGAGCCCTGAGGGAGCTGGGGAACGGGCTGGGGCAGCCCTTGTGGGTCTGAGAGACAGAGCAGAGCGGCCCCAGGCATGACCTTGAGACCATTTCTCTCCAAACGTGTTTCATAGACGTGGTTGCCGTGGGGGTCGGTTCCTGTGGGGGAGCTGGGGCCTCGCCTGCCCAAGGTTCTCCCTCAGAGGAGGGAGGGAGGTCCGGGGGCTCCGGGCTCACGGGGCCTCCTCATCACCCGCCCGTTCGGAGGGACATGTCCTGCGTGAGCACTCTCAGCTCCGGCCTCTTTTCTCTGGGGGGGGGGAGGGTTCTTCTTGTCCGTGTGATTTTGCGCCCCTAGCCTCATGGAAGGCCCGAGCCGGCGTTCCTGGAGCTTGGAACTTGGGATGCATGTCCGTGCCGGAGCGGAGAATGGCTCACCTTGGGGCCTGTCCCTGTGTGTGCGTGCGTGCGTGCGTGTGTGCGTGTGTGTGTGAGTGTGTGAGTGTGCGTGTGTGAGTGTGCATGTGTGTATGTGTGAGAGAGTGTGTGTGAGTGTGTGTGTGTTTGTGTGTGTGTGAGTGTGTGTGTGAATGTGTGTGTGAGTGGCTTTCACTCGGCTGCACCCCCAGAGCAGCCTCAGAAGCACCCTCCTCTTGGGAGCCGGCGGTCTGCTGACTTCCCCACAGGCAAAGGCCCCGCAGGTCCGGCTGCCATTGACGTTAGCAACAGGCGCTGGAGCTGGGACACACGGAGAGCCCAGGGCAGAGGCACAGACATGGCATTCCCTTCATTTTCGAGAGGAGAAAGCCGCCTCTGTGCGAGCGGCGATGGGGAGCACAGCGCCCCCCTCCTGTCAGCGAGTGTGAAGCAGCGAAGCCCCAGGGAGAACACGAGGAAGACCCGCCCGCGGACCGACACGGGCTCTCGTCACCCTAACTCTAACGTTTCCGGGGGAAGACGCCTGGGGTGGGATTCGCGTGTTCCTGGAACACAGCGCACACGGTGGCTGCGGAGCGGCCTGTGCCCGGCTGGCGTGTCCCGGTGCCACTCTTCACGCCTGCATGGGGCTCCTGTCTCAGCACCAGCACCGGCACTGAGCTCCCTCTGGCACACCAGCGCCGGCATGGTGGCTCCCTCTGGTACACCAGCGCTGGCACTGAGCTCCCTCTGGCACACGGGTGTCTCTGCGGCTGCTTCATGGGGGGATGGCCGTTCCTGGGGCCCTGAGCCGCGTGACGCCGGGCACTGCCCTCGGCAGACCACGACAGCTTTTAAAAATGAAGCCCAGCCCGGCCGCAGGGCTCCGAGGTTGACCATCGCCCCCTAAAACCAGGAGGCCAAGGGTTCGATTCCCAGGCAGGACAAATGCATGTGCCTTTGCCTGTCAGGTTTCGAGCTTGATCCCCAGCATGGGGCGTGCAGGAGACAGCCAGGCATGATTCTCTCTTGTCATTGGTGCTTCTCTCTCTCCCCCCCTCTCCCTTCCTCTCTGACATCAGTAAAAAGGGGAGGTCACTGTCCATAAAGTGTGTTTGATGCCAACCCTCGGCCTCGTGCCTGGAGTTCGCCAAGACCAGTGGGGAGCGGGCGGAAGCTCTGGTGTGAGCACGGGCTGTGCCTGCAGCGCTGGGGACAGGCTGGCGCTCAGGGGAAGAGCGGGAACAGCGAGTGTGGAGCCTCGTGCTGTTTCTCTGGAAACGTGTGTCCCGAGCCCCTGACCTGAACCCCTCCTCTTTTCCAGATAACCTGTTCAAGCCCAAAGAACGGTGCATTTCGGAGAAGGAGATGCACATGCGCTCCAAGAGGTACCTGGTGGCGTGGGGGGAGGGAGAGGAGGGGAGGGGGAAAGAGAAGGAAGAGGAAGGGGGAGGGCGGCTTCGTGGGCCTGGTGCTGTCCGAGGGGCCGGCTGCCAGTCCCCGTGTGAGCTCTGAGGTCGTGGCCATGATGTGGAAAGCTGGTCCAGGGAAGTGTGGCCGCGGGGCCGTGCCTGGGGTCTTCATGCTTTCGTGAGAGGCCCCTAGGAAAGTGGGGGTTCCTGGGTTCCCACCGACCGGTGGCTGGTCTCTCAGCGACCGCGGGGCCCCCCAGCACAGCACCCCGGCCTCGGCCTGATCATGTGGTCTCCGTGACACGAGCCCATGTGGACCGCGGGAGGGAACCTCGTTGTAAATAAAGGCTGGAGCGGAGGCGGAGGGGGACTGTCCGTTAACGGCCTGCCCGCCGTGGGTCCTAGCGGGGTCTTTAGGGCCAGCGCGTTTCAAGGCTGGCTGGTTAGACGTGCGAACCTGAGACGTAGACCTCCTGCCACAAGTATTCCCTTTCAATGTAGGGGGGCAATCCCGTCAAGTCCTTCCCTCTCGGTCCCCAAACCCAGCGCTGCCATCAGGGAGCCTTCCAACGAAAACAATCGTGGTCAGGCCAGCGTCCGGGACAGAGCGTACACCCCAGCGCTGTGCTGGTGTGGAAACTGAGGCTGGGACGGGCACAGGCGAGAGGGGATGGCCCCAGGTCCGCTCCCCCCGCCGCAGGCCGGCCTCCGTGGAGTCAGGACCGGGTCTCTCTCTCCGTGGGCTGCGCCTGGCCGGGCTCTGGCCGGGCTCTGAGACCGAGCCCCAGGGCCACATGGGCCTCCTTTCTTTTGTAATCTGTGTTATTAATGACAGTGCTTCATTCCATTTCATTTAAAAAGTTCAAATAGTGGAGATGAAGCTCAAGTTCCTGGGACCCGCTAGGGCCCTCCTCCTCTCTGGGTCCATCCCCAGACACGCCCAGCTCCCACCCTCGCACCCACCCGCTGGCGCCTCTGCCTGGAGAGAGACTTCTCTCTGTGCTGACAATGATCTAACGTTCAGCCCTACGTGTTCCATCTTCCTGTGGCTGCTTTGATCTCCTTTATTACACCTCTGTGCGGGCGGCCTGGTCGGAAGGTGTGGATACAGATGGCTCTCCGCACGGGCTTTAGCTCTGCAAAGTGGCCTGTTACGTGGATGAGCCACAATTCCCTTGGGAGCTCTTTCCAGAAAATACTGCACCAGCCCGGGCCGGTGTGGCCGAGGGGTAAGCATCGGCTGCACCAGAGAGTCACAGGTTCAATTACAGCCCGGTCAGGTGTGCGGGAGACACCCAGTCACTGCCTCTCACATCAGTGTTCTGCTCGCTCTCTCCCTCTCCCGCTCTGACTCCCTCCCCTCCTTCCTCCCTTCCACTCTCTCTAAAAATCAAAGGGGATGGGCACGTGGGGCAAGCTGGCCCTCGGCTGGCAGAGCAGGGGGCTGGGAACCGCCGGTTTAACAAGGAAAAGGGCGCGGAGGGACAAGGAGAGCAGCCACTAAAGAAGGAAGCAGCGCCCCGCTTAACCCCGCCCCCCCGTCCGTCCATGTCCCCCCCGCCACCCCCCCGCGCCACCCCCCCCCCCCCCCCCCCGCTCTGTGTGCTGAGCCTCACAGCCCGTCCGAAGACAGTCAGGGCACCCGTGGCAGATTCCCCCCTGGACGAGGCGCTGCTGACAGACACACGCTGTCTCGCTACCATTCACAGTGCTTCCTGCGTCTGTTTCAGAATCTACAACAACCTGCCGGAAGTCAGAAAGAAGAAAGAAGAACAGAAGAAAAGGGTGATCTTACAGAGCAACAGGCTCCGCGCCGAGGTCTTCAAGAAGGTAACGGCCCGGCCGCCCGCAGGTGTGACTGTGTGTGGGCCCAGGCGTGCTCTGGCCGCCCGCTGGTGTGGTGTGTGGGCCCAGGCGTGCTCTGGCCGCCCGCAGGTGTGACTGTGTGTGGGCCCAGGCGTGCTCTGGCCGCCCGCAGGTGTGACTGTGTGTGGGCCCAGGCATGCTCTGGCCACCCGCAGGTGTGACTGTGTGTGGGCCCAGGCGTGCTCTGGCCGCCCGCAGGTGTGACTGTGTGTGGGCCCAGGCGTGCTCTGGCCGCCCGCAGGTGTGACTGTGTGTGGGCCCAGGCATGCTCTGGCCACCCGCAGGTGTGACTGTGTGTGGGCCCAGGCGTGCTCTGGCCGCCCGCAGGTGTGACTGTGTGTGGGCCCAGGCATGCTCTGGCCACCCGCAGGTGTGACTGTGTGTGGGCCCAGGCGTGCTCTGGCCGCCCGCAGGTGTGATGAGTGGGCCCAGGCGTGCTCTGCCCGCCGGCAGGTGTGACTGTGTGTGGGCCCAGGCGTGCTCTAGCCGCCTGCTGGTGTGGTGTGTGGGCCCAGGCGTGCTCTGCACCTGATGCGTCTGTCTCCTGATCTCCCAGCAATTACTGGACCAGCTCCTGCAGCGGAATGCCGTCTGACCGCAGGCTGCCGGCAGCCCCTGCCCGGCCCGGAGGCGCCCACGCTGGACACACATTAAACAGCCCGCCTTCACCACAGTGCACACTTGTTTTCACTTCAGATGATTTTTTTTTTTCATAAAGGAAAACCTCGCTCCCCAAAGTGCTGGCCAGCCCAGGCCGGACCAATGCTGCCTGAGGAAGGGGCTCCGCAGACCAGGGCGCCCAATCCCTCACCCGCAGACCCCGTCTCCTGTATTTCCGAGCTTTCTCTTTGGCTCTGAGCCCCCCTTTCCACCTCCATTCTGCACCCCCAGCAGAAAGGCCACCCACACTCCCAGGGGCTCAGGTCCCAGGGGTTATATTTTTTACATCGAATTTCCAAATCCAACGCTTTTTACACACCAGCCCCTGATCTGCCCGCTGTGCCGGCCACGCTCGGGCAGCGCGTGGAGCTTAGGGGCCTCTGGACGCAGCGCCTGGTGCTGGAGGCCGGCTCTGGGCAAGCTCCCGGGCACCGCCAGGGAGCTGGGGCCAGCGGCTCCCATGACCCGGGCACGGCCCTAGCCACCCCCACCCACTGCGCACCTCCCCAGCCAGAGCCAGCTCCATGGCTGCTGCCCGCCCCCCACCCCGTCCTCCGCAGCCGCCCCCGCCCCCCCCCCCCCCGCCCCAGGACAGCTGCTGGCGGACACGGCGGGCGCCCAGGCTGCCACGCGTTCTCCCAGTGTTTACGTTGGTCATTGACCATTTGGGGAGTTAAGAACCAACTAGTTTTTATCAAAGGCGGAAATAAAATGAAGGCACTTATTACAAAAATTCAAGCATTTCTCTGTGAGTCTTTTGTGTTCTGAGCGGAGCAGCTCAGCAAGGAACGCCGCCAGGCCCCCTCCACCCGCCCTCGCCAGCACCTGCAGGTGCGATTCCCCGGCGCCGAACAAGGTGGTCTGAGCCGGTCTTTCCCGGGACGGGGCTGCGGAGGAGGGTGTGGGGCTCTGCTACACCGGCCGCGGCGGCGGCTGCTCGCTCTCCAGCGCTGGGGAGCGAATTCCCCGTCGGTTCCTGAAGGCAGAATGGGTATATCCTCACCTTCATCACAGCCATCCCTCTGCCTCTCCGGCATCGGCCCCCTTGGCCGGGTTCTCTTCGTGAAACCAGGCCGTGGGGATTCTGAACTTCAAAGTGGACTTTACTGTTGTACCTTCAGCCACCCAATCCTGGCCTGGAGCCGACCTCCTAGCCCTGCGTGGGCGTGGGCGTGGGCCTGGCGCGGGGCGGGCTCCGTGGTGCCGGGCGGCAGCGGGAGGCGTGTTGCCGCTGACACACACGAGCTCGGACCCGCCACGCTGGAACCCGTGGGACGGGAGGCACCCGCTCCTGCCGTGCCCCTCGGTGCCCGCACGCCGGGCACCGCTGCCTGGCTGCCGGCCCTCTGCCAGCCGCTAACGGGATCCTGGAAAAACGGACGCCGGGCTGGTTCCACGGCGTCTCTGCCAAGGCGCTTCCTGGACCCGAGGGCCATGAGTCAGCAGATGCGCGCCCGGCGCTGAGCTCCTTGCAGACACCCTCCCTGTCGCGCCCAGAGGCGTCAGAGTGCGGCCGGCCGGTCCGGCTGGCTCAGGTGCCCAGGCGGAGGGGTGCAGTGACGGGGTGGCTGCGGGGCGGGGTGTCGGGCGAGATGCGATTGGAATGTGACTTAGGGGGTTAGCGGAGCCCGCCAGCCTGCAGCTAGGAGCAGCAGCTAGAGGCAGAGGAAATGAGCTGCGAAGTGACTCAGGGCCGCCTGCCCCGCGCAGGCCTGGCTCTCCCCGCTCCCGCCGGCCTTGGCAGTGCCCCCGGACGTCTCGCTCAATAGGATCCGCTTGGAGCCGGCTGTCCCTGAGCCGAGCCAGCCGCCCGCCCCGGGATGAAAGCTCGGGAAGCAGGCCAGCCCTCGTCTGTCTGTCCCGGGCCGATGGGCTTCAGGAAACTCCGGGAGATTCCGGGAGAGGGGAGGCGGGGGGGAGTGTCTCTGCTCACCGCCGGCTGCCGGGTGGGATCCTTCGCAAATGTCTTCTCCACATGGAGCGAGCGACCGCGCTGGCCGGCCCCCAGGAAGGGGCTTGCTCACGTCCTGTCTGCTGGGCCCGTTCCTGAGCCTCGGGCCCCGGGAGGCCGTCTGAGGCTGCCGTCTGGGCGGCGGGGAGGGAGGGGGCTCCTGCGTGGCTTCTGGCTGTGGGAGAGGAGGGGCTGGACACTCACCTGCAGGCTGCTGCCTCCAGCGGGGCCCGGCCTGGGCCGCT